CCCCAAAACCCCAAAACCCCAAAACCCCAAAACCCCTCATTTAGCTAGTTTGATAGAATTTAGATTATTTTATATTATGGAAGGCTCAGGTGGATTCGGAGGAAGAGAGAGATCAGGATTTTCAGGTAGGCCAACTCTTCTAACTCACACTTATTAGGCAGAGGAGGAAAGTAGGTATATCAAGGTCAAAATCTAATAGATTCTCACGAGGTGGTGGAAAGCCTAAAGGCAAGACAGTCTGTAAATTCTTTGTAAAAGGAAAATGTACCCACGACCATTGCAGGTAAGCCCTCCTGCTTAACCGAATAGTTTCTTGCACATGTATTCTCCAATCGATAACATTACTCTCCAGGCTTCTGTGAGCATTTCTCCAGAAGCGCTGAGAGATATCTGTTTGTTCAAGATTGAAGAAGATATTCATATTGCCACCTCAGATGTCAAAGGAGAAATACAAGTATTCAGCCCCGCTAAGAACGAGGTGATAGAAAGATTCACTCCAGAGGGCGAAACTACTTGTTTAAGAGTGTTTGATCAATTTCAAAATGTTCTAGTCGCAGGGTACTCCAAACAAGCCCCTGGAGGAGCAATTCATGGATCACTCTTACTCCTATCCGGTGAGAATAAGTTAGAAGTGGAGGCGCACGAAGGCCATATAACAGACATTATATGCGTCAGCTTCCAGACCCCAGAATTTACAGGAGAAGTGTTCTTTACAGCAGGATTGGACTGTAAGTGGATCCCAACTTTTTAAATACTTCATTGATTTCTGAGTGAAGCATAAATTTCATAAGAATTTTATCTAAATGTTTCATAGGAAAGATCAGAGCATGGAAGATCAACGAAGGACAGCTAGAGCTAATGCATACCTTGGACACGCCTAACAACTCGCCGATCACATGTCTGGAAAATTCAGGCCCAAACTTTGTGTTCGCAGGTTGCCAGGACGGAGGTATTGTAGCTTGGAACGTCCTCAAAAACGATTCAGACATCATGAAGCAGGATGGAGCAACAGTATGCCCTGATATTTGACCTCTAGGGAATCATTAAGACCAAGGTGTTCGAGAATCATCTGATAGTTGCCAGAGAGAACAAGTCTGTTGAAGTTTATGACATGAACAGCGAGTTCTTGTGCACAAACAATTTTACTGCGAAAGGAGTAAGTTTCTAATAATTCAACCGTAGGAAATCACCTGTTTGGCAGTTGCAGTCGACGCTCTTGGATGAAATGTACTCCTGATTGGGCAGAAATCAGGATACATGGATATGCTGAATATTAGTACAGGATTCAAGATGTTCACTTCGATGATGGCTTATTCAGACAGCCCCGTAACCAAAACTCTTCCCATCGTGAACATCTTCGGGATGGATGCTGGCATCTTCACTGTTGGAGAGGACGGGTGTCTCTCTGTCTGGTCTTGGAAGAAACCTGACAAGTCAGGCTTCTCCAAGCGTGGAGGCAGAGGTAGAGGCAGAGGAAGAGGTAGAGGCAGAGGAGGACAAGGAGATCAAGGGAAGGCATGGTAGAAGGATGTAATTAAAGATTTTCAATAATTTTATGTTCTAGGGGTTTTGGGGTTTTGGGGTTTTGGGGTTTTGGGG